AGTTTCTTTCTGCCATCTTCCATCTTGAGACTGAGGGGTCTGTTGCTGCTGGAGCGACAGTTCTCACAGACGGACAGGTTGTTCATGTTGCAGAAGCGGAGAAAACAGGGATCACTGCAGATCTTATGAACGACGTCCTGCTGTATGATTTCATGTTTGCTCTGCAGGAGGATAAACAGTTTGTCAAACATAATTCATATTCATTCCAATTTACAGGAACCTGGAAAAAAAAAAGAGGTGAGTTGAAATGTTTATAAGGGAGACGAAGATTTTATTTATCTTTAAAAAGTAATTGATGAAAAATGTAGACTCATAATCAGAATGTGGTTGTGGTTATTTTAAAACACACAGTTTATAAGATCATTCTTATAACAGGCAGTGATCTTCATTATTACAATTCAGAAATATAACTTTTTGAGCTTTTGGAATCTGTTCCCTCATCTCTTACAATGCAATATCTGCTGCACATGCTGCATTGTGACTGTGACGCGACTGGTGCGATGGGAATTTTGGACATGATTCTCTTGTAGTTGAAGGAGGACAGGCAGGTCTGGCTGCAGAAATCCTTCATTGTGCCGTCAGTATCCACCGGGGCCGGAAGGACGTCCTCATTCTTTGTTATTGCCCTGAGAGAACGAGGAAAGATGAGATCAGTTTGAAATACACAATCTCTGTGCTAAAATGTGTAGAAACAGCTGAGATGGCTTTAGCTGAAGAGCATTTGAAAGTAAGTGAGATGAGAAGAAAAATGGTGAAAATAAACTACTGTATGACTCACTGAAGGCAGAAGTGGCAGGTCTTCCTAACTTGTTTAATTTGGTAAAATTTCAAAAGGCATGGGGTGGAGCAGAATATATCTGCATGGAGCTTCCTCTGATAAACTGTCTCTCCGTCCATCAGGACCTTTTTGCAGCTGGAGCAAGACGCAGGCAAATCCATGTGGGTGAGAGTGGGCGAGTGGGAGAGTGTGTCTCCCTTCAAGGAAAAGACTGAACCAATCTTCAATTCCTCCTGTCATAAACAAAAGAGTAAGATAATGCAGTTACATTTACATTTCTAATTGTGGAATACTTAAGGTAAAAAAAAGGAACCTTTCCTTAAGTATTTGTATTTTATTCACCTATCTATTTATACTCCACTATATTTCCAGGGGATATGTTGTATTTTTGATCCATTACATTTATTTGACCACTGTTGTTATTTTGCACAATTTTAAAATGAACAAACAAATGTTAAGCTTTTAAAACATGTTCTATTGTTCAATGGAAAAAAAACTCTTCTTTATAAAGTAATTTAGACTCAAGTTAAAGTATCTGACCGACCAGTGTATTAATATTTTAAGACGTTCAATGCAAATCATCTTGTTTATTTTTTAAACTCTTTTTCATAACTCTAGTACCTTAAGCAGTTATTCTTACTTCTTTCAAGATGCAGACATACCGTACATTTCTAAAAAAGCTGACTTAAATGAAATATTTTTCCCGCAATGTAAAGCAAGGTTTTAGAGATTCAATTACAGACATAAATTCTTTTGGCGTTATCTCCATCTGTAGGCAATTTATTTATCATTATATGACAAATTAATATTTTTGTATCTTTATGCTGCACACACAGGAATAATTCTACAGTCAATTTTTTAATCTGCGTCAGTGAGAACGTAAACAGCAGCAACAAGATAGTGTTGATCAACCTAAACGACCATCAAAAAAAGCCATTTGGCATTATGTGCACTTTACTTTTGATACTGCAAGTTAATTTTGTTCATTATACATACATACTTTTACGTAGGTATTATTTTCAATGCTCAACTTTTAACTTTAACGACGTATAAATGAAATACATGCTCTGCTGGCTTGTCTCCTACCTTCACCCTATTAGGCTCGTCCTTGATGTTTTCTGTGGATATGGAGGATGACAGATTCTGATTGTACTCCTCATCAATGGGCTCTTCTTTTATCTTGATGAGGAGTGCAGAGAGATACTGATCAGTTGTGTAACATATACAACAGAGAAGTCTGTGTGGAGAATTGTGACGATTCTAACTGGAGTTCAATTTAGCAAATCTACTGTCTTACGTGTACACACTGCAACTCACCAAGAGAAGAAATACTATTAGTTAGTCCAACTTTCTAGTATTATTACTTATTATTGTTATTGCTATAGTGCATCACACCTATCACAACAAAAAAATGCTGTGGCTGCTCAAACAAGGAAATGTGGTTTAAAGGCATGCCTTGAATCCATTGAATGTATTACAATACTCACAAAGTCCAAATTTGGTAGTGGTGGCTTCACTTCTTTAACATCATTTTCTTTGGATGATGGGCAGTTCCTTCCTATAATGATGGAAATGTGTCAAATGGTAATGGATTTAAAACACAATGATGGTCTACATAGAGAGATGTGCCTGGAAACACTAGAAACACATTCTCAAGGGTAGAGTAGATGCTCTAACTCAATGAAGTGATTATATTCAGTGAACTTTGTTGTTTGAGTAAATGAGGCAGCCAAATGTGACCTATTCTTTGTTCAAACTGAATTGTATAATTCAGTGCAAAGTACCTAGGCAATGTAAATAAAGGCAGAGGAGTGAAAGTAGAAGGGAAGAGATCCTTTTTTAATGAAAAAAGAAGACTGCAGTACCTGAAACGGTTAACGATTGAGCCTTGTGTACCACCATACATCTGTTACTACAGAAGAAGTCCAAACTGCCCTCGTCGTTTTCATTTTCAACCATGTCTGACATCTGATGGGACGTCTGGCACATGGGGCACAGCTGAGGTGTCTCAATTTTCTGCAGAGTTATAAAACAACAGCAGAGAAACGATGTGAGGCACGAAAAACGATTTGCAGGTTCAAATAACGTGATATGAGCGTTTGGCTAAATCTCTAAGAAAATAAATGATTTAATTATTAGTTAGCTGTTTAAGCTTCAAAGTTTTGTCAAATATTAAAATGCTTATTAATTCATCAAGTATTTTTTCTGTAAACTAAAATAACCTCAAAAATGTAGTAAAAGATTATACCACTAGTCAAAATATAAATGAATATACCAGTAAATAATATTGTTGGTCAAATAATTATGATTTTCTAATCATCTCTTACTAGCTCATTTTATTTTAATTTGATTAAATTTTTTGGTCCTGGCATACATTTATTTATTTACCAATTCTTCTCCCCCCGAGCAATATTTGTCATATTCCTCATCCTAACGTGCCATCTGCCATCATTACAAAACTGCAAAACAACAAAATTGTGCAGTATAAGGAAATAAGTTTATATTGGACAGTCTGTGCTGAGTGAATTTATAGCTTAGTAGTATGCATGGTCTGCAGCACTGTGTAATAATGTGCTAATGTGAAACTTATTCCAACACTGGTTCCTTAATATTTACTCTTCTTGTCAAATGAGTGACTTTAAATGATTTTGACATTTGATTTCTTCACCTCTTTAAACTTGACCAGACATTCTGCACTGCAGATGGTTTTACTGGCGTCATCCATCTTCAGCATGAACCGTTTGTAGTGGCAGACGGAGCTGCAGACGTCACAAGCAAACAGGGGCAAGTTGTTGACTTTGTGGTAGTTGATGAAGCAGGCGTCGCTGCATATTCTGTACATTAAGCCATCCAGGTTCAGCTTGAATTTGCACTGTGGATGAGAAATGAGCATGTGTTTGTTAACTACTTAATTATTATAAATAGAGAATTAAATATATGTTCCTTTCACATTTGTGGTGATTATTTTAAAAGGATAAAGCTAGTGATATTTTTATTCAAATTATCCAATGAAAACGAAATTAATTGAGCCTACTTACAAGTATAGCATGATATAGCTTTTTCCTCTGTGCTTTCGACCTCACCTTTAAAAACTCATCAGTGGCATTTGCTTACTAGATCATTTTCATGCAGGGACATTGCTCTAAAGATCTATAACTGACTGTACAAACAATTGTTTCACTGTTCAACAACAAAAGCAGCCAGACTTGTCCTTTAAATATCATATCACATTGCATCATCAAAGAACTGCATAATCCCAATTGTAATATATCAAAACAGATCTAACTAAAAGTCAAGAGTTGATTTATTTGTTTCCTTACAAAGCAGAATTTGGCGCACATCCTGCACTCTGACCGAGGTCCTGTTAGAGGTGGGGGTTGTGGGGCAGTAATTTTCCTCTTTGAGTTGACAGAAGAGAGGCAGGTGTTGCTGCATAATTCCTTCATAGTTCCCGAATCATCAACCGGAGCGAGGATTATGTTGTGAGGCCGCATTATCACCCTGAAGGAAAAAGAGCAAGAGGATATTCGCCGATATGAAAAATTTTGTCTGCTGTACAGGTCCTCCAACCTTTGTTGCAACGCAGCAAAGGTCTTTGTTGCAACATAGAGACCTCGGTTTTTCAAAGAATGGATGAACTTTGGCAGCAGTCCTTCAAATCTCCTGAATTTAATGTAGCATTTGCATTACTTGACCTGCAGGAAACTAAATGTCTCAGAAATCTACAATAATTCTTGTTTGGAGTGAGGAAATAGTCACAGTTTTGCTGGTGTTTAACAGCATCACAAAATTTTAGGGCTGCAAGCAATTATCTGTTATGATCACTTTCTCTATTAATTGTTCAGGAAATAGTGAAAAATGGCGATCACAATTTCTTTAAGCTTTAAGCTCAAGGTGAGGTCATCAAATTGCTTGTTTATCCAATCAGCCAAACCAAATCAGATTTTCAGTTCATGATCACACAAGACAAAGAAAAGCAGCAAACTCCCACGAGTAGCTGGAACACAGGAACGTTAAACAATTAACTGACAGTCAAAATTATTTATTAGCTTAACTTTGTTAATAATTGGAACATAATTATCTAAATTTTGGATTGATTCACTCTTGACTCAATCTTTCTCGCTCTCTGTGTCTTTCATACAAATGCACAAACACAAATAATCCTGCAACAAAAGGAAGAGAGGTGACATCCAGACGACATTTGATAGAAAATATGATGGACTTACTGAAAGCAGTTGTAGCAGTTCTTGGTGGCTACTTTGATGCTGGGATGCCTTTCAGAGAGGCAAGAGGATGAGCAAAAAACCTCCGGGGAGTTCTGCGGCTGGTAAAGAGTCTGTCCTTTCGGCAGTTTCTTTCCACAGTGGCAACAGAGAACACACGAGTCTGTAATGATCAGAGTTGGTGTGTCCGAATCAGCGGCAGATGCGTCATTTTCATTTACAGCGGAGTCTGAAGTGGTCTTTGCATCCTTCTGTGGGATGAATGCACAGTAATGGTACAGTGATTAGAAGTTGTTGCTGGACTCACGTGTAACCCTGTTTAGCAAGGATCAAATCAGACCAAGTGTTGTTTCTTGGTGCTTTCCTGCTGTGCCTCAGAATGAAAGCTTTAACAAAACATGATAGCAATGGCATCTGTATCATTATCTAGCTACTTATTTATTTAGGTGTATTGTTACTGTCGCGCTCTGAATTTTATTTAATGTATGAAAGATACTTACAATAATCAATGTCGCATTTGATTGCTTGTATTTCTTCTTCTTCAACCCATCTGAGCCTTTCTTTCCTGAAGGGAGAAATCACAAACATGTGATTAGGTTACTGCAAACTGTTAAACACATTAACATGTACAAACATAAACATTTATTAAATAGTTTATAATACACCATTACGTAGTTGTAAGCAGATACAAGGACATTGTAATTGTTAATGTACAGTATTTGCAAAGGAAACATTTCCCCTGCATTGCTGCAGTCCAATCACAAAACAACATGCATATTCCCGATTAATCATCCCTACAACACAGTGAATTAATACATTTGTAAAGTTTTAATCAGTGAGTCAGCAGTTTTAACTTTTTTGAACCTAATGTGGGACTTCCGACCTCTTGAGCAAGGACAGAGAAATCAAACAAGCTGTGTGATAACAATCTCTATGTCATGTCACACTGAACGAGCTGGGTCGAATAAAACGGTTGCAATCTGTGTCAAACTGCAGTATATCTATTTTAAGGCATGTCAGGTGGGTGAGGAATGGCTGCTGGTAGATAGGGTGGGGATACACTGTTAAATGTGGTGCAGGCAGCATAAGAGGCAGTAGGTATAACCTTAATTCTCTATCAGCAGCAGATGTTAGAGATGCTGCACGATAAACTTTAATTTCATCTTCAGCTTCAAGTGTTGGTGAAGACGCTACAGAACATCTTCCATTTGGATTCAGCCACTACAAGCCGTGTGAAATACATGTGTATTAGTCTGTAATATAAACTGTATTTGTTTACCTATTAGTCAAGAGACAAAAATCAAAATAGATCTTAGAACCTACACACAAATCAAAACCTTCATTCAAACCACCCTTCCACTTCAACAGAGTCCGCTCCATCCCTCTCTGTGACATAAAGAAGCAAACCAAAGTACATCCTGTCAAGTTCCTGAATGGTCCAGCAAACAGAGATTCTTCTCATGTAAAACACGGAAAAGACATATCAGCTGAGATAGTAGATAGTCACATAAAGAATGCAAACATAATCCAATGTTTCCCAGAACTGAATCTGCCCAACAATTCAGCATCCCCTCTACATTTGGATAAATCTACAAGTCCTCACAACTGAACATTTTCCAAAAATGGCCTAAAAGCCTTCACACCATTAGAGCTTTAAGGAAACTTTAAAATCATTTTCATAACATTATTAACTGCTGTCTGATAAGCATTAAAATTCACAGATGTGTTACTCAGTCTGAACTTTCTGGATCATATTTTAGTGTCTCAGTGGTACTTGCAGCAACCCACCCACAACAACACAGCCCTGTGTGTTTTTAATGAAGTGTTATTTTCGTCTGAATAGAGGAGGAAGAGAGAGACATCAACCAAAAAAAAAAAAAGCCATCTTGACAAACTTATTGCCCCGTACCTTGAAGTTTGTACGATTGCGGGCCGTAATGTGTAAGACGTCACACAGGTACGAGTGCAGAAAAGCTCCACTGTGTTCTCATCACTTTTATGATGAACCATTTCCGACATCGGTCGAGAAGTTTCACACATGGTGCACTGGTGGGGCGTCTGGATTTTCTGTAAAACAGAGTAGTATCTCATTTAGCAGAATCCAACATGGGGGGGGGGGGGGGGGGGAGCGGCTGGAGGTCATTACAGTGGCAGATTAACGCCCATGGTTGAGAACTGAGTGGTTCAATTATCAAATATGGAGTTTAAGTTTCCACATTTGTCTATTATGCGCATGTTAGTAAAGTTTCTTATTTCAAAGTAACTGCCAATTTTAAATGTACAGCTGCTGGTGGTGTTCTGCTTATTTTTAAGCACATCCTACAGTTTGTAAACAATTTTATTAAACTTATCAAAATTAGTAATAATCTCAATCATTTATCAGGTAAAAAATGTCAAGTATTTTCTGATTACATCTTCTCAAATGTAAATTTAATTTGGGCGGTGTTGGACTGCTATGATAAAACCACCTGAAGCCCTATGATGGACTGGCGACCTGTCCAGGGAGTAACCCGCCTCTCGCCCAATGTCAGCTGGGATTGGCTCCATCCCACCCCTTTTAAGTTTGATTTAGGGCTGAATAAAATGCAAAAAAAGATATTATTGATAGATATTGCGACATCAGTCAATGCTAATGGGAAGGGTCCATCCATCCTTCATCCATACCCACTTATCCCACGTATACAAGGTGTGTGTTTTTCCTGGGGTCTGTACAAAACATGGATGTTTCCTTATGTCTGGAGAATATGATTTGTAGGCCCGGGCTTCTCTGTAGCATTACAATGCATTATTTAAAAAAAAAAAATGTTTTGGACATTGCACTTGGGTATTTTGCCATTTTCAATATTCATCAGCCCTAAATGACATGTAATAAGATTAAGGCTGGTTATTTCATATATACAGTGGGTACGGAAAGTATTCAGACCCCTTTAAATTTTTCATTCTTTGTTTCATTGCAGCCATTTTCCAAAAATCAAAAAAGTTCATTTTATTTCTCAGTAATGTACACTCAGCACCCCATCTTGACAGAAAAAAACAGAAATGTAGAAATTTTTGCAAATTTATTAAAAAAGAAAAACTGAAATATCACATGGTCATAAGTATTCAGACCCTTTGCCGTGACACTCATATTTAACTCAGGTGCTGTCTATTTCTTCTGATCATCCTTGAGATGGTTCTACACCTTCATTTGAGTCCAGCTGTGTTTGATTATACTGATTGGACTTGATTAGGAAAGCCACACACCTGTCTATATAAGACCTTACAGCTCACAGTGCATGTCAGAGCAAATGAGAATCATGAGGTCAAAGGAACTGCCTGAAGAGCTCAGAGACAGAATTGTGGCAAGGCACAGATCTGGCCAAGGTTACAAAAAAAATTTCTGCTGCACTTAAGGTTCCTAAGAGCACAGTGGCCTCCATAATCCTCAAATGGAAGACGTTTGGGACGACCAGAACCCTTCCTAGAGCTGGCCGTCCGGCCAAACTGAGCTATCAGGGGAGAAGAGCCTTGGTGAGAGAGGTAAAGAAGAACCCAAAGGTCACTGTGGCTGAGCTCCAGAGATGCAGTCGGGAGATGGGAGAAAGTTGTAGTAAGTCAACCATCACTGCAGCAATCCACCAGTCGGGGCTTTATGGCAGAGTGGCCCGACGGAAGCCTCTCCTCAGTGCAAGACACATGAAAGCCCGCATGGAGTTTGCTAAAAAACACCTGAAGGACTCCAAGATGGTGATAAATAAGATCCTCTGGTCTGATGAGACCAAGATAGAACTTTTTGGCCTTAATTCTAAGCGGTATGTGTGGAGAAAACCAGACACTGCTCATCACCTGTCCAATACAGTCTCAACAGTGAAGCATGGTGGTGGCAGCATCATGCTGTGGGGTGTTTTTCAGCTGCAGGGACAGGACGACTGGTTGCAATCGAGGGAAAGATGAATGCGGCCAAGTACAGGGATATCCTGAACGAAAACCTTTTCCAGAGTGCTCTGGACCTCAGACTGGGCTGAAGGTTTACCTTCCAACAAGACAATGACCCTAAGCACACCGCTAAAATAACGAAGGAGTGGCTTCACAACAACTCCGTGGCTGTTCTTGAATGGCCCAGCCAGAGCCCTGACTTAAACCCAATTGAGCATCTCTGGAGAGACCTGAAATGGCTGTCCACCAATGTTTACCATCCAACCTGACAGAACTGGAGAGGATCTGCAAGGAGGAATGGCAGAGGATACCCAAAAACTGTGAAAAACTTGTTGCATCTTTCCCAAAACGACTCATGGCTGTATTCGATCAAAAGGGTGCTTCTACTAAATACTGAGCAAAGGGTCTGAATACTTATGACCATGTGATATTTCAGTTTTTCTTTTTTAATAAATTTGCAAAAATTTCTACATTTCTGTTTTTTTTCTGTCAAGATGGGGTGCTGAGTGTACATTACTGAGAAATAAAATGAACTTTTTTGATTTTTGGAAAATGGCTGCAATGAAACAAAGAGTGAAAAATTTAAAGGGGTCTGAATACTTTCCGTACCCACTGTATAGTTCTGTTCCTGTCAGCAAATCCCACTGAAGGACCAAAAACAATCTGTATCGTGCAACAAGCAACACTTGTGTAGGCAAAGCCTTATATAACTTATTCCCCCGTCCGACAGACCTCCATTTTTGTTTAAAAATAATAAAAACATCAGCCACCAGGCTGCACTGGATGACATGTCCCTTCATTGCACTGACTGCAGCCAGTGTAGTTTATTTTGAGGAGCTCCAGACATTTTTTCCCCTCATCTAAGGGGATATATCTGACAGACAGAAGCCACTGCGCATGCTCATCAAAGACTTTCCGTGGCATTGACCTGAAATGAAAACATTACCTTCCTGCATGCTGATCTGTGGCAGCACAAAACCAAAAAGGTCCAGTCAAACGAAACTAATACATTAACACTGACGTATATGCACTGCATTTAAGCCACAGAAAAATTTGTTTTATTATATGTAGTCCAGGAACTCGATTTTCACGTGAAAAAAAACAAACAATTTAAATACCCACCAGTGTTACTGTTGTGAAATGTAATGGTAACACGCAGCGGCACAAAACGTTAATATCCGACATATTTAAATTAGCCAGCTGCTCAGAGGCACTGCTGCCGGCTTACCGTTACCTGTTGCTGAGGCATGGATGTTGTCGGTTCAGTTTCTGCTTCTCGCTCTGTCCAGGGCAGCAGTGACGGGACAGTACCTCGCTTTAACCCTGCGTAATAGTGCCTTTTCCCTCCTACGTAGTCCTTATGTCTGAAGTGGTCGCTGCACACACGAAGACCGTGAACCCTGGTCATGAGCACGGTTGTAACTTTTGGATCGAAACAAGGGTTCTTGATGGCCTCCAGCCACTTGCAGCACAGCGCCGGATCGGAGGGGAAAACGTGAAATTTTTGTGGGGTAGATAATCTTGACGTGCGGACATTTCCACAACCGGGTACAAAGCACTTCATGTTCCGATACCGAGCTCGCAGAAAAGAAAAGACAGAGAATAAAAAAGGCAATTCTCCGCTATACAAAACTATGAATACACCGCTTCACTGTGTATTTAGTACAGCCACGTCCTGCAGTTAACAGAGCTGACTTTTACAATCTGTTGCTCCTCTGCTCCTGTAATTACGGTACAGGTGCTGCGGGCAGCCAAAAAGGACATAAAAAAGTTCAAATTTGATAAATGTAGTTAATAATGTGACAATATGTTGCCAAAAACAGTTAATAATAGTTAAGTCAGAGCGTCACATGATCTGAGTTTGAGCCTTACAATGGACAATATACATACAACGTGAAGATAGTACAGTACTATCCCTGCTCAGGAGACCACTGATGACCAAAATTAATTTACAAAAATATGTTTATATGCCTTTATTATTCTTTTCATATGGTTTATGATTCTTTCCCTGCAGTACTTGCTCTCTCTTTATCTTTCATTTATATGTTTTATCAATTATGTTTATTGTTATGCACCAAAATAATAAAATTTTAAAAATGTTTTCTCTCCTATAAAAAAAAAAAAAAAATCCTTGACGGGTTTATTAATGACCTTCTCAGTAGGAATTCATTTGAATTTTGAGCAAACCTCTCAGGGAAATAGAGTACAGATTGACAGAAATGTCAGTGGAGGTGATTTTATCTGAATTATCTTTAAAAATCATAGTGGAATAACTTCACATTTTCTACTTTGTTATGTATCATTAGAGCTTGAAGGGTTGCATCTACGTTTTCCAAAAATTATAACTTGTTTGTTTGTTATTTTTTTAAAGCTATTTCTTATGAATAACTCATATTTGGGCTTTTTGGCTGCTTTCAGTGCCTGTATCATAACTGCACAAACAGATGTGCACCAGATTCTGAACAGCAGCTGGCCTGACCGCAGTGCCCTTGATTAATACTCACTAATGAACCCAAAATGTGCATTAATCTTTGGCTGAAAATAGTCCCTAACAAATGCTCTGTTAAATCCTGCCTCAGTGACCCCTCTGTTTAACGGAGCTAAAAACTACATTGACCCACTTTTGGTTGTCTGAGAACAAAACCCAGATGACCCCAGCTCTATTATTTATGAATATCTAACCTCATTCCTGGTGTGTTATTATTGTTCTTCTTCTTCTTCATATTATAATAATATAGTATATATTGTTTAATCTACCAGTTACCAGTTTTCCTCTTATTATTATTTTGACAGGCTCTGTTCATTATACCAGTGAGCCTCACCTTTCTCAATGTTGTCCTTAATCAGTAAACTATGATTTGGTCTGGGCTTGGCCACTATGATGATTTTGGACCAATACTTTGTAAATAGTGTTTCAGTGTGGATATATCATCATATCCAAGTTATGTTTTCTGTCTTTGTCAATTTAAAGCAAGAAAATGTAGTATTTTTATCTTGAAATACCGCCTTCAAAACCAAAAAAAGTACAATGACTTGTAATAAAGTTGGATGGAGTCTCTGTCATTACCACTCTGGGCTCGGAGTGCCAGCTATTGTGTTATGTAACATTGGAGTCATGGGCAGGACATTTATAGCAACAACGGTGTACACCAACACGACTCTTCAGCAAACAAGCTATTAGAAGAAGCAAAAAGTATATAATGAACAATGTACGTTTTTTGGAAGAAGCTAGCTTGGTATTCACAGTATGGAGGTCATTGCAGAGGATGTGACAAGACCGAAGAGGAAGCAAGGAAAAGACCAAACGAGTAAATATCAGACTGACTTTTACTCTATGGCGTGAGCTAAAAGAGCTGAAAGGATGCAGGACAGATATCACGCTGGCCATCTTGTTGTTGGACTAGTCAGCAAACGTATTAGCTGTTTGCTGTGTCTTGTGTTTTTGCGCTTGCTTGATGTTTAGCTGTCTGAGCAAAGTTATCAACACGAGCAAAATCAGTCAGAGGTTTCACATACAGAAGTTTAACCGCTAGCTGTAAATCTCGAGTTGATGTTACTTACTAGATAACACACTCGGACACTGGTAACGTAACTGAAACTGCTCTTGCATCAGTCACTGAGCTGGCCTTCTTTCTGTTCACATAGATGAAACTAGAAATAAATATTGTCACACTTGCTTGATGTTTGATTGTTTGCAAAGTTGTCAACTTACTAGTTTTTGATCGTACTGTAATCATAACGAATGCACATGAACAGCTGTCCTTATTTACGATGGCAGTGAATTACACTCCAAATAACACGCCAACCCGCACATATAACCATTTCTTACATAATGTCGCATTAAGTGACCATCATGTTAATATTTCTGCACCTCTTTGAACTCCTCCAGACATTCTTCCTTGCAGATCGTTTTGGTCTCTTCCTCCAGCATCAGCATGAGCGGTTTGTAGCAGGAGGAGCTGCAGTTCTCACAGACGCCCACGTTGTCCCTGCGGAAATTTTCTAAGCAGGAGTCGCTGCAAAAACTTGTGAACGGCCTTGTTCAGGGTCAACTCACATGTGGTCTGTGGAGGGGAAAAAAGGAGCAGTGAGTATGATGCAGTTTATAGTTAATATGAATGGTTTTGCTGACAATGTTTTGTAGTTGAAGAAAAAATGTTAGCTTACAGTGCAGGATTTGTTGCACATGCTGCAGCTCGACTGTGGGGGGGACTTAAAAGAGGTTAGGCAGGTCACACTGCAGAAGTCCTTCATAGTGCCCTTAACGTCCACTGCAGCCATGATGAGGTCCAGAGGCTGCGATATCGCCCTGCCAGAATGAAGAGGGGAGATTATAAACAGTTTGTTACAAAATGAACTGACACAAAGGAAACTACTACAACAAGGTTTTTTAGTACTACGTAGGCTACTACGTGCAAGAATAGAGGTGTAGTCCTGCAGGATGAAGTGATGTTTTTCAGCGACTCACTTGTGACAGTGATGACAGGTCTTGGGCACTGGTTTGTTGATGGGAAACATTTCAAATAAGCAGTTTTTGGAGCAGAAGACGTCCGTGAATCCCTTCTTCTGGTAAGCTGTTTGGCCCTTCAACATGGTCACCTTGCAGTGGGAGCAGGTCATCTCTATCGCCTGATCCGCAAGAGCGTAAATAAAGAACATGGATAATTTCATTTATCCTGCTTTGTTGGGCAACATTCATATACACAAATGCAAGCGTACTGAAGAGACACAAAGATATGAGATTCAAATAGAGCTGCATTAAGATACTGCAAAATAGTACAGGCGAGAAAAACCTTGAATGTGAAAACTTTTCTTCTTTTAACACTGTGACGATGTATTAAGGCCATTGAAGTAAAAAACAAACAAACAAAACATTAGAAAACTGAGGGAGGGGGTTAGATTCCCATAAGGTGGTAAATTTATGAGAAAAAAATTAATGAAAAGTGAACAAAATGAAAAGTGACTCATTTAAGTCACTATAATATATATATATATATATATATATATATATTTTCTCCCTTGGAGTATGATGCTGTTTTTTCTATCTAAGTCTGATACTGGCATTTCTGTTTTTTATTTTTATTGTTGATGAGTCTGATACTGCTTTGGCTACTCCTGTTTAAAGCTGTTCTTAACTTTGCTGTACTTTTCTATGCTTTGCTGTTATGTATGGTATTATTGTCTTTTAATTCCGTAGTTCTGTAAAGCACTTTGGTCAGTCAGTGGCTGCTATAAAACGTGCTATATAAATAAAATGAACTTGAACTTGAATGTGCTTGTGTTATAAAGGCTCTGTACTGTATTAAAAGCAGGTATGCAGATGTTAACAACAACAGACGTCACATATAAGCTACTTTCACCAACCAGTATTTTGAGATACTTCCTTCTGCCATCTTGCCCTTAAGCAGGTTAAACAACTGACAATTAATATTCAAATTATTTGGAAATGCAGATACATCAGTTGAAAGTTATAGTTTTCTCTTCCTTCCTGCCACATTGTACCGAGTAAATTATGCAACATTTGACCTCCTGCTCATACCAGCTTTGAATGAAGCTTCAAAGAATGTTTACTAATTCTTTCAAATTTTAGATGGTATGCACTCAGCTCAGATGACTTTATCATAATAAGGAGGTCACCAGGGTTATTTAAATTTCTTTTCAATTTAAATACTTTGTTCACGTGATGAACAGTATACTCTTTACCTTTGCAAAGCTGGGCTTGTTGATGTCTGTGGCAGTAGAGGATGTTAGGCAGCGCTTGCTGTTGTCCTGAATGGGCTGATCTGTCACCGGCCACTTGACAGAGTTGCACACGGATGATAACTGGGAAATGTGGACTGAAGTCTGCAACTTCTCCTACAACAAAAAAAAATTAAAATACCAAAACAACTGACTTTATACATTCTTGTCATTTATCATTTCCAGCTGTGAATAATCAAATTGAAGGCTTTACAGCATGAGCATGATCACGTCAGCACAAACATACTGCTGCGTGTGCAGTCACGAGTCCTGCCCTGCTTCCTGACCAGCGTCAGCTCTGGGAGATGCTAGCTAGCGCTAACCTCCTTCACCTCCTTATAACAGCACCTGTCACGTAGATGTCCTTTGATAATTAAGAAAAGGAAGCTAGCAAAGCGTTGAGTGTTTCCATGCTCTCACAGTGTGTGGGTGAAAATGATTAACGTAAGTACCGCACTGATATTAATAAATGTGTGACATGTTAGCAGCAGTGGTCATAATTCAGCAGCGGCGATGCACCAAATATAGGAGAACCGTATCTCTGGTATGTGCACTTCAACATTACCTTATCAATGATCTCTTAATTTAAAAACGTAAACCCAGCTTTAATAGTTGAGCATATTTACAGTAAAAACCTTTTCAGTGAACTATGAGGGCAAAAAACAATCAAAAACAAAATAATCGTTCATTAATCGTAATCGAGGTAAAAATGTTCAATTAATTGTGATTATGATTTTAGGCCAAATCATCCAGCCCCAATGTCAACAACACCAGATTGTGTGTGACGTGGTTGCCAAAAGTGTTTATATATATAAAAAGTTGCAATTCATACTTGTAAGTGTTGTTTTTATTATAATATTAGAAAACAAATGACAAGAAATGTGTTACTCACAATGTCCAGTTTTGGGATTAATATCTTCACTTCTTTCATTCCAGTCACTGCAGCTGAGAGTTTGTTCTTCTTTCCTATAAATAATGAAATCACATCGAGTGTACAGCCATGTTTTGTTATAGAGTTAAAATTCTACACTATTGGATGGATTGCCATGATATTTTCTTAGACATTCATGATCCTCAGAAGTAGGGCTGCACAATTTGGAGAAAAAGTCATATTGCGATTATTGTGAACAATATTGCGATTTGATTACAATGGAACAAATGGTACTATGAGTTTACTTTCTTAATTATCAAGGAATGCGCAAAACACTGACATTTTGAAATATGTATTTTTCAACTTGAACAAAGTTAAACAATATTTAACAATAACTAGTAAAACAGATGTAAAACAGAACAAGGGAAGTCTGTTGCTCTACGGAGGAGGCGGCTAGATGGAGCCTCTATCCACAAACTGGAGGAGGAACTGTACATGAGTGTATTAAATAAAGAGTATTATGTTAAGTTAATAGTTTATTGTTAGTATAAGAATAATATTTTAAATACTACATTAATTAGAATTTAATATAATAGTATACTTTTTTTACCACGTGTTGAATAATAAAACCAGTTATAGCCGTTTCATTTTTGTGGGTTGTTTTTAAAAATTAAATCCTTGTGCAAGCAAACGGCTCTACATCGGTCTCTAATTTTTTAATGCTAAGTACTAAGTCAATAATCATATGTTCAACATTTAATGATTTGCTGTAGCACATCAAACTACCTTTTGAACGATTAGCAGCGGGGAGGGGAGGGTGGTTACGGTAGGTTGTTGTCTTAAAAGTTACTTGCACACTGCTCATAAATAATTTTTCTCATGCAGGCTTATCTGTTTTATGAGTGTTACGGCAGAAAATTGTGTCCTCTTACATTTAATCTTTTATGTATGATCTTTAATATTATCATTATTATTACTATTAATGTTATAGATATTTATTGTGTTTTTTATCCTTAACCTTTCCTCTCCTTTACTCCTTATGTTGGTCTGTCCACATTTACTGGGGTTTAGGTCAGAGCTGTGAGATTGTTTTGGTGTTTTCCTCTCTTGTTGTTCCTCTCCTCTCCTGGAATGTTCATTCAAGGCTGAGAGAGGATCTCTGTTCCCCAAAACATAGAAACCTAGACTGTGTAAATGATAATGCATCCCTTTGCTCAAGGCCAGACGCCTGAAGCCGTCCTAGGCAGCAGGTCTCTGGACCAGCTGTATATGTGTTTTAGTACTTCTGTTTATTCTCTTTTGTTAAATAAATTCTTCAAAGACAACAGTTGGTTGTTACTCAATTCTTTGCTCAACCCCTCACCAGGAATATAATTTCCACGACAATGGGCACATGCGAGATCCCGGTGTGGGCGGAGATAATAAGCAGACTGCAGTGCACACAGAGAAGAAGTGTCACACACACTTCTTCTGTTTTATTAAATCGCACACTTTTTGCGGTTATGTTATCACACATGACGACATTGCGATTAGATTAATTGTACAACCCTACTCAGAAGGTGAAGCCTACCGACTTTGGTGATCTCTTAACTTTTCCTCTAGCACCACCATGAGGTTGACATTTTTAGTGAAATATCTCAACAGCTATTGGATGAATTGTTGTGAAATTTGCTTCAGATGTTCAAGATCCCATGTAAATAATAATAATAATAAAAAATTCTACAGACAAATTTGTACAGACTTTGGCAATCCCTTGACTTTCCCTCTAGAGGCACCAGATTTATTTTACCTGTATCGAAGATGGCAGAGGGACTCCTGCCGTCCACATCCGTCCAGTTATTTTGTTCGCTTCCTTTCTTTTCATCCTCATGGTTCTCTGTATCAGTGTCCATGGTCTCTTCAAGGTCTGCAACAGAGGTGTCCCTGTTAGGCGAGCCGTCGTTCTTGGGCGTTGCTGCTGAGCCGTTTGTGTCACCATCTCCATCTTCTTCCTCATTTCTGGGAATGTCCTCATCGGTGTCCATGTCAAAGTCCACATTCATGTCCTCGTCATAATCACTAAAACAAATGTCTGCTGCATCCTCCTTGCTACGCGACAGTGTTTCTTCAGGTGTGTTCACAGCACAGCTCGCAGGCATTTTCTCTGACCCGTCATCCTTCTCTGTTTTCACCTCATCGTTTTTCTCATCATTCGGCTCAGATTCCTCATCTTGACCCCCGTACCTTTTTGTCCTGCCTCGGCCACGTTTCTTCACGGAAGAAACTCTGGAAACTCCGCTGGGTTTTTTAGCTCGGGAAAAGGAGGAACGAGCTACAGGAGATAGAGGGACAGTTATGTGAGCAGATTATCTACTATTTACTTTTATTTATAACTAGTTTCATTCAGCCAGTGAAGTCTCAAATTTATTCTCAATTGGGTTGTTTTGGGTTTATCTTAAATCCACTGTAGATTAAAACTGTAGATCAAATAGATTTTCAGAGTCAATAAAAGCAAATATTTGTCACCAGCCAATGTCATACCAACTCCTGGTTAGTTAATAAAGGTCACATTTCAATCTGTAAATGTATCAAAATCACTCGTCAACAAATAAAGAGAAGTATCGAAATAACTTGTTTAGATAGATAACCACTCTTAGTTCATATTTTAGTTTTTGATTTATTTGGCCTCTTACTGTCCTATGCTGACAGCTGCTGATGTTAGTAGAAAAGTAAACACATGCAAACACAAAAACAGGCGCAACTAGCTCCATGGTCACCACACAAATATAAAAGAACCTCTTAACAAAACTTTGTGTGGTGAGTGTGAGCTGGAGTCTCATTAGATTACTAGTTGACAGTAATCTGTAGAGTCGTACTGGCAGCACAAGGCCTTTGCATTACCTTTGGATGTGGTGGCCTTGTCATGAGCAATGTCCCTCCCACGTTTTACATCTAAAAAGACAAAGAAAAGCGTCCTTTGGTACGGTAACTTAGCAAGTAGTTAACTAAAAAAGCTTAACTTAGAGATAGTCAGAGAGTTAAAGTTTCAGAATTGTCAATACAGCAGTTGCGTTATGCCGACTGTTTAAATGCCTGTTGATAAGCTGGCTGTCACGAGCTACACCTACGTATTTGATAGACATAAGCAGAACAGTAAAAGACAAATGCCCAAGAGGTTCTGGCAATGACATGAGGGAGGGAGAATTGATGGGGGAGAGATGACAGCGGACATGAGTATGTAAGTCTGCGTGTGAGAGTGTGTGTGAGAGACAGAGAGCACAGCACAGGCTAACTAAAACAGCAAGTTATTATTAACAACACTTTGTTTTAACTGTGTTATGTCTATGCTAGGGCAGGACTAAGAGAACAAGAAGTTAAATAAAATAGAAATATTTACTGCGGGTTTGAAGGGACGGGAGATAAAGCCGGGGAAAAGCGGAAGATTAGGTGCGTGCCGAACCGGGTTGGAAGACTGAGAGGCTGAACTCAGCAGGTCCAGAGCAGAATACGGGAATATTTTAAGACAGACGGGCGTCCAAAAAGATCAGACAGGATGAGCGCTATTGAAGCGATATTGTTATTATACGTGATCACTCTTAACTTTTATTATAGCCTACCACATGTTCTTCTTCTTCAACTGGCCTAATATAATGATTTAAATGTGTTCATTATGTTGTTGTAGCCTACAGTTTAGGCTACTGATTAATTTTAAAATGTAGGTTATTAGACTTTTTTGATCTGTAATGACATTAAGCAAATGTAAAATGAATAAACCCCGTAACTGCCACACATCTGTTGTCATCATTCAGTTTAAAGAGGGCTTCATTATGTGTTCCCTTTGATGCAAACTGGAGCATTACGTTCACTGCTGTGAGCGGAGTCAGGCGCGTGAAAAATAAACAAAAGAACCTCAACATTCAAATCTCAAAATTAAAAATCGAATGTGTACAAAATGATGAAATATTTGAATATTCGGTCCTAGTATGTAGCACTGCAAATGTTGTATAACAGGCCTGGATTAGGTAGAGACAAACAAATTTATCATAGGGTTCCTTGTTAGTTCAGAAATATACCTTTATATGCAACAAAATCTTTGAAAATGTTTAATTAATCTGTCTTAATTCAGATTTATTACAGGGTAATCTACTCTGAAAGAACATATAATACAGATCAATGGGTAGTAGAAGAGTTATTGCCTATTACGTACCACCCAGCTGAAAACTGCTTTCTGGTTCTTCATTTTCCTCAGCGTCACTGTTTTCGAGGCTGTCGTGCTCCACATCCAGCTCCAGTTCATCTTCAAAGGAAAGCAAACTATGTATACATCTGTACTCCCAGTAGCACGGGGTGATATGTTTTCAACTATCAAGACATTAATACAAGAATCTTGATATCACAATTTCTTTAAGACTAAAACTTTAATAATCAATATTTTGTTTATTTGATTTGAATAATCAGATTAAAATATGATTCATGGATTATAATTGCATTTTGTGAAAATTCAATGTAAAAATAACCTCGGGTCATTTATAAGAAACTCCACAGGAAACCTTAAACTACTGAACTGAACATACCTGCAACCTCAATCTCCTCAAGAGATTTTCCTTCAAATCTTTCAAGACATTCATTCTCCATTGCCGATAGTAGCTCCAAGATTTTTGCTATGTCAACAGCTGCTTCTGGCGTCTGATAATACTCGCTGTCGGTCCGAATGTCACGGCCCAGTAGTCTGGCCAACTGATCAAGCTCGTCATTTGTGAGGCTCAGAATCTGGAAAACTCTTGCAACGTGCCTCCGAAAAAACGTAGACCTGAGGTTCGCCGGGTTCTTTGCACCACACCGAGCTACGAAAGTGTTGATGCACTGGTGTCCGTGGTAGAAGCTTGTACATGTGGCAACAGGTCTTGCGAATAAGAAGGGATTGTTATTATGTACACCACATGCCTCTCTCTTGTTCACAAGCAGTGTTATTGCAGAGAGTAGTTTAGGGGTCAACGTAACGGCAACTTTTTTATCTTTGTCATTCCTTAGATTGATCTTCACAGTGTTCTTGGACAGAATTTGCTCAAACTGTGACTGGTAAACAGCAGCGTCTTCATGAAGCTCAGTCTCATCCCTTTCCTTAAATGACTTGATTGTTACTTTGGAAACGTCTACATTGTTTCTGTTTAAGAGTGACACTTGTGCAGCGGTCACTCTGAGAAGTGCATTGTAGACCGGAGGACTTTCATACATCGTCAGGCTTTCAACTGCAGACGCTGCCGTCTTCTCCACGCACTGGTAGAAAAGCTGCACGTCCTGTATGAACGACATGGTTTGTGGTTTGTTGACTCTTGATTTCGATTTGACGACAGAGCTCCATTCTTCTGCACACAACTTCATAAATGTCTCCGCTTCATGTGTCGTCTCTTCATCTGCCTCCGCTTTCAAAGCCCTGGCGAAGATAATTTGACCAATTTTCTTGAGCGAATTTCCCATTTTAAGCATAAGACTTGGTCTGTCACAGGACTTTATCTCTTCATTGAAACCAGCGAGCTCTCTGACAGCTTCAACCACTTTGCTGAAGTTTTCGGGTTTGACTGCATCTTCAAAGCTACTAATTGATTTTGTCCTCAATTTTAACAGGAGTCTCCCCATAAGCCTCAGCCTGTGTGGGATGTGGTCTCGTCGGTTTGTTTTACCTTCATTCATGTGGCACAAACACTGTGCCAGCAGCAGTATATGGGGATCACTCTCAATTACAGATGCAATCTCATCTTTCTTCAGTTTCGTCAATACCTCCCTCACATCTGATGAGATTTCTTTGAGGTCTGTTGACTCGGCAGCAGCAATCAAAGTTAAGACTTTAGTCTTGCCAACTCCTGGAAGTTTTGAGGATTTATTTGAAGCACACCTTTGCATGTGTCGCCACATGTCCTTACGGCTATACATGCCTTTACAATATAGACAGAGTGCATATGTTTTAACAGCGGTGGACATGTTTGATTTTCTTCTTTTCACTTTCAGTTCTCCACAGTGGGTCTTCAAAACCATTTGATTGTGTTTGTAATTTCCTCTGTTTCGTAACTTATCCAGTAGGATATTTCGTTCCTTAGAGTATAGGGGGAGTGCAAACACTTCAGCTATTTCGTCCTCTTCATTTCTGTGGGTGAAAAGGTGACGGGAAATTTTTGATTGAGCTTTACCGCAAACGTAACAATAATTTTTGTTGGTGCGGGAAGTGCCTTCCGGCTCTCCATCAGATGTAAAATCATCAGAGCTGTAATCATCGTCACTATCCTGCTGGATGCACGAGGCATCAACGGGTTGCTGCACAAAGCTCTGCTGTTCAGAAGAATCTGGATCTGGGTTGTTGTTTTTAGATCCATCATCGCTACTTGGTTCACCTTCAGGTACATAATCGTCATCAGAGCAGGATTCTGCAGAAGTGGAGGATCCAGCAGAGTCCTCAGCCTGCAATTATGAACAAGCAATTTTATACACATATCCAAAACAAGTTTGTGTAACATTACCCTCAATGTGCAAATTCTTAAGACTGTAGTAATTTCAGCTTCATTCAATACTCACATTTTCTTTAAACTTGTGTTTAACTTTGTTTTGCTTGATCTGTTCTCGTATCTGTCTCACTGTGGTTTGAGGTAGACCGGAGTAATGAACATACTTGTGCTGCTATTTCAGTGTGTCATTTTAAGCCACATTTATTATTAGCGGTTAACAAGAGTCCCGCAGCAGATACCTACACCTACTTGATTTAATTAGAGTACGGGAGATTACTGACTTGCACTCGTTGTGTTCACGTTGTGTAGGGCTAAAGCAGAAAGTTTGCAGAAGAGATGGCTTTGTTAGATCACTAAAAAAGGAGAAGATAACAGAGTCTTCAACTTCCTTAATGTTGCACCAGCAGACAGTTGCAAATGACCTCTTAAATTGTGTAGAGTAATCTGACAATTTAATCTGATATTTACATAAACAAGTATTTTTTGTGTGTAGGTATTTACAATAGTCAGTGAGTTAAGCCTCTTACTTCATGGTGTCTCCGTCTCACACTTGATGTCATTCATATTCAATAACATCAGAATAATATGAAATACGTTGACATACGAACACTTCATGGCCACATAACTTTACAGTAAGTACATCTAAATCATGGAATTTTATGTTAAAGATGTGCAACGTGGGCGCGCACAGAATAACTTGCGCACTGCTGAGTAGCAAAATCCAGCAATTCCAGTGACTGTGGCCTCTTACCCATAGAGCTCACTGGGACAGACCTGTTAATCTGGACACACTGTCAATCAACAAAGCCCTGCCTGCCAGCTGGATTTAAAGGGTTTAATAAACTACTTCACATAGCAAAAAGCTCAGGAGAGAGTGCAAATAATGCAAGTACAACTTATTATTTATTTGACTAGTAATCAATCTACACACTTGAGTTTTGTTTATAATGCCTATGAGCAGACATGAAACATTTTGTTATGTCAAAGTGGTGCCCTGTCAGTTAAGTTTTGTTTTAATCTCCTATGAAGTAGGCATCTCTATAACCGTCTTAGTCTTGGTATTGTGACTCTTCTAGTTTATAGAATGATGTCTGATTTCATTTAGTTTAGGTGTCAACTGTGCAGTGCATTTCGCAGAGGCAGGTTGTTTTATAGCTGCAATCTTTAACTTCTTTAATTTGTTACTGACATTATGCCACTGTGACGGGAGGTCCCTCCATGACCATCTTTAACTTGGGCCCGGGCAAAGTCATTTCGCCCCTAACAAGCACCCAATCAGTTCTTGCGGTCCACAGGAGAAGTTACATTTTTGAGGAGATCATTTGCAGCTTAGCATAACGCAACTTAATATTTTCACATCCATATCTCAATCTTTAGTGCTCCTGAAGCCAGACAAGCCACAGTGAGTGAATACACACAGGCTGCACAAAGCAACTTCTGCCACTCTGGATCTTTAGCTCTTACATCAACAGAAACAGGAACAGGGGTCAGTCAACTGTCTGACAACAAGATGAATAGAAGTCCAGTAATCACTGGTGTTTAGCTCTGGTCAACCAACTCCTGAGAAAAATGTCTGCTCTTTGTTTTGCTAATGTTCACGGTCACTTGTTTGGGGTACATGCTGTTTCCACCACCACAGCTCACGGAGTGGTCCGCTAACACCTAAAAACTACCGGTGTTATGCAGAGTTCCTGGCAGTTTAACGTCAAGATGATATAAAATATTACTGTAAGGTTGCAGCCGGAGTTTACCTGACTTTTCAACATGTTGCGGGATGCTGTGTCTACATACTCGCTCGAGCTTGAGCACGTGTACTACAGGCAGAGTGGGCGTGTCTGCAGCGCCAGGAGAGACGTAGCTTCAAACCACACAAGCGCTTCCTCGGTTTGTCAACAAAGCAGACGCACTTTGCGAACTATGTAATATGAGCCCATGGACACCACAAAGCCTGTCTGTTAAAGAGGTTTCAAATCCACGCAAACCAAGGGAGGCAACACGACAGCATTTCCCCCGACAGACATGTCAAACGAGAGTGATTCATTGTGTGACAAGCAAACATTTTTAGCATCGGAGTTTGACGAGGAAATGAAGGGCGATGTTCAATTTGTCTTAGTTTAGCCAAGCTTACCCAAGTGGCAAACATCTCTACTTTAAAATACAACGTTAACTTTACCAGAACATGCAAGCTGCAAAAAAAAAAATAAAAAAAAAAATCAGGCAGTATGCAGATAAACAACACAAATTATGAGTCATTTATAATGAAATCACTACTGGTATTGGTGATCGTGGCCGACATGGCATGTACATTTTTGTCAATTGTTTATATTAGAGCGCAGACCTTCCTGAAGGAGGTGTATTGAGTCGTGACTGTTTAATAAGTGATATTTGGTTGCAAATACATAAAGTTAACTATCAAAGATATCAGATTACTGCATACCATGTAAAAGCTTTCATAACAATGACCTTGATCTATTTATCTACAGTAATCTAATTATTAATGTACTAATTCATTGTCAAAAACATACCTACAAGTATGAAAAATAACAAGTCCTCAGCACATAACTACACTTAAATTTATCATGAAAATAATTAACCTAAATGACATTAACTTTAAGTCAGGTGGCCCTGGTTATAAAGCTCAAACTCAGGATTATCATCATGTTCACTACAGTAGTGATTTAAAGTAGACTGAACAGGCATGACTCAATACACTTCCTCGGCAGAAGTCTGTGTTTTACTGAGGGCATTTTCTTGTTTTCTTTCTTTGTTTCGTCAAATTATATATAAAAGATGACAATTAATGATAACAGGCTCTCAAAAGCTCTACAGCAGATATAATATTTTCAGTTTTTTAATTAATGAAATATAATAATTTATTATTCCATTAGATTTTTGCTGTGGCATTGTTTCAATATCAAAGTCACCATTTTTGTATCGTGACAACACTAATTCCCACCACTTTATCAGTTTATTGGGTGCACCTACACAATCTAAAGCAAAAGAATACACTTACAAGTCCCACCTTTGCAAAGCTTATTAAGTTCAGATAGAGATATTCAGATTCAAGGTGTTGTATTGGACTATACTGGAATAATTTTTAAGAATATTTTGTCATTAACTTGGGAAGCAGAACAGTAAACACATTTGTAGACACATCTACACTAGATGTCAATAGATACTTATTACATTTATTACATAGTAGAAAAAAAGCAAGACACTTTGCAGAAAATAAACCTACCGTTGAGCGCCACGGGTAAGAGGATTCCCCATAGTTGTAAGTTATCTCCTCGCCTGGAGATATTTCTTTCACTGCAAACAGGCACAAGTGTGGCTTTCCCTTAAAACAACTGTCCTCATTTCACAGTTGGGACTTATGTGATCGTCATTCACGAGTCTTCCGAGGGTCCCATCCTCTTTCGAAGCATCAACGCTGCAAGTAAAACACTCTTAATGAAACTTCCACCGGTCTTAAAACCACTCTTATCACCGACTGGGACTGATTGAAAATGGATGTTAAAATATTGTATCTTAGGTCATCTTTCTGCACACACACAAGAAATTCATGCAGCATGCATAACAGGAGGTAGTGAAAAACTGAGTTTGACTTGATGCTGCTATGCTTCTTCCTTTGTTTTTGTTTTTTACATCAATCTTTATCTTGGGTTTTGTAAAGATTCTCTATAACAGAAGCCAATATAGGACCATTTAATGCTGCTCCTTGAAAGAAAAAAAAGCAGTAAACTCACCGCCAGTTTGTTCCAATCCATGAGAAGTCAAACAAGTAATTTTTCAGAGAATCACCACATTTCTTTCTCCTGGTTTCTTTGTGAGAGATGGCAGAGATTATCCCACGATACTCAACGACAAAGGTGGACGGTTCAATGGGTTGATGGGTAAACACACCTCTCCCTGTAAATGCAAGAATAAATACAATAGTCCAAGTTATATCCAATCATTGTCTAAACATCCCATTGATAGGCTGGAAGGAAAACCTCCTATTTACCAGTGGATATTGGCTTCAAGCTCATTACAGGATATATCACTTGTTATTTTTCCGTTTTCACAGAGCTAAGAGAATCATTTTTCTTATTTAAGGAAATCTCGACTTAAATGAGAATACCTGTTAAAAAGTAAATAAAAAGTAAAAACCTTTTATGGGGTCAATGAACCTTTCTTCCAGGAAGCCTTTGTCTCTGCAAACCTTTATGTGCTCCAGGGCATCTTGCTCAGGAGTCAGTTGTGTGCCTTCTTGTTCCACAGCATCTGGAAATGTTATCAAAACAATGTATAAATATTAAAGCAAAAGCAAGACCAACAGTGGTCTCATGCACAAACCCTGCATTTGTTTTGGAAAACAGAAGACGACATGTTTAACTGGTTTTAAGCATGCCATCATACATGGTAGATTTCTGGTTTAAAGAAGTACTCCATTTTATTATACATTTGGTTATTGTTGCAGACACATTATTTGAAATAACACTGTTCCAGACAGCACAACTAAAGTTTCATGAACCACCAAAACAACATGAGGTAAAACTACAAGTTAAATAATATAAAATATTTTTTTTATTGATTTATGAGGCACTTTGTGACATGTGGTCTAAAAAACAGTTCTTATTTATTTCTTGAATGTATAGCATTTGTGATACGTAAAATATTTGGCAAGCTGGTTTGGATGATTGCAAATAATTTAAAAATCCTTACCTCATGCAACCTGTGTCAGACTTCTTAACACTCTTCTTCTGTGGTGTCTTTACATTACACTGTCCTTATTCTACATTAATCCCCAATAACCTCATCATGATTTCTATGGTTTCTTTTATTTGTGTTTCCTTCAGATCAGTAATTAATATCAATAACATGAAATAAAATATTTCGAATTATTTAGTCTGTATTAAAATTGTCAAAAGGCACAAGTAGCAATGCACATTATCAACTTCAGTGTCACTTGCTATCTCTGAAAAGAAATCTATTCAACAAAAAAAAAAACTACTATTACAGGAAAATATGTACGGGGATCCTCACAACCTACCACTCTGCTGACATGAAAGATCTGATTCTTCATTTTCCTCCTCAGCGTCACTGTTTTCAGGGTTGCCCTGCTCCACATCTGGCTCCAATTCATCTTGAATAAAAAGAAAGTATGATTATACGTACAGCATGAGTCATTCAGATTTTAAGAAATTATTTGTTTTTACTAAACAAGCACTGGCAGGACAGACGTGTATTACACTGGACACGTACCTTCAATCTCAATTTCCTCCAAAGAGTTTCCTTTGAATCTTTCAAGAGAACCCTTTTCCATTGCCAAAAGAAGTTTAGCTATTTTTGCAAGATCCACAGCTGCTTCTGGCAACCGATAATAGTCCCTGTCAGCCCGGATGTCATGGCCCAGTAGTTTAGCAAGGTGATTGAGCTCATCGTTCTCCAGGTTGAGAATCTGGAAGACTCTTGCAATGTGCTTGTGAAGATGCACCGACCGGAGATGTTCTGGGTTCTTTGCGCGACATAGCCTGGATATAGCCCTGATGCAGATCCTTCCGTGGAAGTGGCTTGTAGCAGAAGCGTCAGGCTTTGCAAACAAGTAAGGATTGTCTTGATGTACACCACATGTTTTCCTCTTGCTCATGAGCAGTGTTAATGCACTGACAAGGTCAGAGGTCAACAAGACAGGAACGTTTTGGCCAGTCATTTTCTCGATATTGATTCTGATGAAGTGCTTGGACAACACTCGGGTAGCGTCATCCCTCTCCTGGAATGTCTTCAGTGTCATTTTCGAAACTTCAGGGGCACATTTGTTTAAGACTGACGCTTGTGCAAGTATCACTCTGCAAAGTGCACCGTAGACCTGTGGGCTCTCACTCACTGTCAAGTTTTCAGTGGCAGAAGCCGATGTTGTTTCCAGGTACTTGTAGAAGACCTGCACGTCACGTGTGAACGGTATGGTAGACGGGTTGTTTACTTTTTGTCCACTCAACGAAGCGAGAGCTGTGTGGGAGACAAGCTCACTCCATTCCTTTGCACACAATTTCATGAATGTCTTTGCGTCGCTCATCATCTGCTCATTGCCATCATGTTTAGAGAGGACAATGGTACCTATCTTTTTGAGTGAATGTCCCAATTTCAAAGCAAGACTTGGTTTGTTGTAGCCCTGCAGCTTTTCATTGAAACCAGCAATGTCTTTGACAGCCTCAACAACTTTGTAGAAGTTTCTGGGTTTGATAGCATCTTCGAAGCTAAATACTGACTTTTTATGCAGCGCTAACAAAAGTCTTCCCATTTCTCGCAGCTTCTGTCTGATGTAATCATGTTTATTTGGATTATTTCTATACTTCTCGCACAGATACTGTGCCAGCTGTATTATAAGGAAATCATTTTGAACTGCAAATGCAATCTCATCTTGATTCATTGTTAGCAGCATCTTCCACACACCAGAAGGGAGTTTGTGGGAGAATGGTGAATCTGCAAGAGCCATCTCACTTAAGACTCTTGTCTTGTCACCAGTTGCAGAGTTTGATGTCGTCTTTGATTGACATCTAGCTACATGCCTCCACATCTCCTTACGTTTGAACATGCCTTTACAATATAGACAATGCACGTATGTTTTAGCACTGGCGGTGCTTGTTGGTCGTCTTCTTAGTTTTAATGGTCCACTTTTATTCTTCATCACCTCTTGATTATGTTTGTAATTTCCCCTGTTCCGTAATACATCAAGTAATCTTTTTCGTTCCTTGGAGAGTTTGGGAAATGCAAAAGCTTCAGCAATTTCAGGCTCTTCATTAGCATGCCTTAAAAGATGTCGAGCGATTTTAGTGAAACCTGCCCCGCAAACATAACAGTAATTTTTACAGGTGTAGGAAGAGTCCATGGGCTTTCGTACAGGCCTGCTGGGCTCATATTCTTCATCCGAGTTGAGTTCATCGGGACTGAAAGCAGCCTCGTCCTCCAGCTGACTGTTAGTGTTGGCAAAACTGTCCTTATCCTGACTTGGTCCACTGTCAGGTAGTTCGTCATCATCAGACTTTTCAAAGCTGGAACCTGCTGAGTCCTATAGAATTATACACAGAAAACAAGCAATCTACTAGACTGTTCAGAGTAGATACATAACCTAGCTCTGTCCAAAGGTTCTCATCACCTCTAAAACTCACTAATAAACAGCAGAGATTCCAAGAGGCTACTGAAACCACACTTTTTTTTAAATTGAGCTTTAGTTGTGTACAAAAGCAGTGTGTGTACAAAAGCAGTGTGTTTACATGTTGCTAATACTGCCTCATTTACTGGAGTGTGAACTGTAACAGCTGCTCAAAGCATTAATTTAGTCTTTTACATACCCCTTCAGTCCTTGGTGTTGATGAAGTAGCATTAAAGCCTGTGTTTGAGGTACTCGATCCATCATAGGAGTCCTGTAAAATGCCAAGTGTGTGTGTGTGTGTGTGTGTGTGTGTGTGTGTGTGTATACATATATATATTAAAAAATATAATAAAATCGTGAAAGTCTGAAATAAAAAAATTGATTTTAAAAATACATTTCATTTTTTAAAATTTTATTTCATCCTGCTTCTTTCAATAATAATCAACTTATGGGCAATTTTTATTATTCAAGCGATTAACGCCAATTGTCCCAAAGGCCATTACACAAAGTGCCCCATTTATTAATTACAACAAACGTAACACGGCCAATTATGAGACTGTCTGAATAAGCAGATACAATTTAATGGAAATATCTGTGACAATCACATACTACATCCTCCAAATTAAAAAACAAGTCGAATCAACACTTCTCTAAAACACTTTACACAAAAAATAGAGTTATAATATTAATGGAAATAGGATTTATTGCAGGAATGTTGTATTAGACAGCATTGATTTAGCAATGTGTACCTAATAAAAGTAACAAGTGACTGTAATTCTAATTAAAAAAATCAAAAGTTCCTTCTATAACAAAAACCTACCGTTGAGCGCCACGGGTAAGAGGAGTCCCCATAGTTGTAAGTTATCTCCTCGCCTGGAGATATTTCTTTCACTGCAAACAGGCACAAGTGTGGTTTTCCCTCATACACAACTTTCTTCATTTCACAGTTGGGACTTATGTGATCGTCATTCACGAGTCTCCCAAGGGTCCTATCATCTTTCGAAGCATCAACACTGCAAGCAAAATACCCTTAATGAAACTTCTACCACTCTTGACTGCACACCATATAAGTCTGTGTGTGTGTATTAAATTATTTTTGCAACCGTCCTACTTTATACTGCAACTGATGAACAATTTCCATTGGGAAAAATAAATTCTAGCCTATCTTATATTGTCTTCTTATAAAATAAACTGTAGAAAACCTAACCAGGCTCTTTATGACAAAATTGAAAAAACAAGCAAATAACTTACCACCAGTGTGCTCCTTTCCATGAAAACTCAAACAAAAAATTGTTCAGAGTATCACCACATTTCTTCCTAGACGATGTGTCTTTGTGAGAAACGATATTCCCCCGATATTCAACAACAAACATGGATGGTTTAATGGCTTTGTGGGTGAACACTCCTCTCCCTAGAAAAGCAAAGATTAACAAGAAAACATTAATCCAGTGTAATGCAGGTCCAATTGCCAAAACCAATCGTTATTTGCATGACCATTGTTTTACTTTAACCAAACAAATATATAAAAATAGTATTTTTTAAGTCTTTTACTATGAAGTAATTCACATTTTCCATCAGTTTGCATTGTCCAACTCTAAACTGGGTTGCCATTCATTTTAAGTCTGAATACCCATGCTTGATAAATATACAAAATCTTTTAACTTGATTATAAAGCACCAATGTTTAGTTTTGTGCATCTTAGTTGGAAGGCACTTCCAATCATTAACACAGTAAATGTATTGAAGCACATCTACAGTAAACGGAAAATAATTCTGAAGGACACCAGAAATCCCTTCAATATCAATACAGCGAGTGCTCTCAGAAATGTAACCCTACCTTTAGAAGAGTCTATAAACCTTTCCTCCAGGAAGGGTTTGTCTTTACAAGCAACTATGTGCCCGAGGGCATCTTGCTCAGGAGTCAGTTGCCTTCTCTTCTTCTCCATGACATCTGGAAAGTTTTTCAAAGATACTAATTTAGGTTTGGATGATATGAGATCTACTGAGCATAATGTTCTTTGCAAAAACAAGAGGCACAAAATAGCATGTTTGGCAGAATATTATAAAAGTATTTTAATCACTTGCTGCTTCCAAGC